CCTGAGTGAGTATGTGCCTACTTCTACTGTGAGCCCTCTTACCCCTACAGGAGAGCAACAGCAACAAGAGGGTGGGTCTGGAGAGAGGGGCTAAGCTTGGATAGGGTGCATACCTGTGCAATGTGCACTGGGTAACTCCGCCCACCCCACAGCACCTCTGGGACCATCACAGGTGGGTCTGCACTGAACATTCTGCATTTACTGGGACACAGAGAATGGCTCAGTCCTCAAGCATGTATTCATGGTGTCACAGGGAGAGGCCAGTGTACCTGTATGTCCATTTGTGGGTGTCGTTTTACAAGTGTGATTGGTGAATACCTCCTGAATGAAAGAGGAAGCTAGTTGGGCCCCCTACTATGACTGGAGCATGGGATGGTACAGAGCTGGTTGGAAGAATTGGAGCTACCACCCACAACTGACCCCAAAGGTAAATACTAGGACAATCTGATAACCCCACCTCCTTAGTCTCCTGTGGAAAAATCTGAGATTAAAGGCTCATTCAAAGCTTCTGGGGTCCCAGGGTGGTGCAGAGTGGTAGCACCCTTGGCTGCTTCCCAAAAGGTTGGGAGTTTGTATCCACGCAAGGGTGCCTGGTAACCTATCTGTGGATATCAGCCACTGAAAACCCTGTGACATGCAGGTGTTCTCTCAAACTGGCACTAGACACAGAAGTGAGTTCTGGGATGTTTGTCTCATCCCTCCTTGATCATCCTTCAGATGCAGATTTAAAAGGCAGCAGGGGTTTATGTGAAGACATGTCTTGTCTCCCTCTATCTCCCCATCCTAGCCCACAACACCCACAACTTGGCTTCCCTACTCTCCCCTCACATCTATTCTTCCCAGTCTTCCTGACTTTTTAATACATGCTGGAGACACAGAGGGAGGTGGAGACAATTTGAGTGGTAGAGAAGCAAGCGAGGGAGACACATAAATTTCAGATTCTTAAATTGCTGTGTGGGCACCAGTCTTCTGCGCCATCTACTGGCCATCTGGGGATATTGGTCTGTTGTTGAAACAGGTCCCAGAACCACCTTTGATTGCTCACCTGCAGAGCAACCTTCCCCAAGAAGTCCTCTCTCTCATATCACACCTAAATCTCTCTTGCATCTTTGGTCTGTTTTCTCTTGATGAAATAGCTTCTCATTTGTGCCTTCTCATTTTATCTAAAACTTAATCCCATCCAAAATTGAAAGCCTATTTATGACTCGGCCATGAAGCAGCTGAGCCAAGCTAGCTGGCCCTGGCAGTCCAGCTAGCGTCTTACTTTCCAGCCCTTTAATCTTCCTGGCTCTGCTCTGATTCTTCTCCAAGTTTCCACTGTCTCTCTGGAGCCTACAGGTGACCACAAGGCCCTGATTAGTGTCTTTGATACTCTATTCCCTCACTGCCTAAGTTATAGGTCCCCCGGGGTAAGGTGGCACCAAAAACCAGGAGGCACATCAAAACCTTATGCCTGTCCTTCAGAAGCAGCCAAACTGCAAACTGGGGAAGGTATGCCCTCAGAAGCCCTGCTGGGGGAGGCCAGCAGAAAGAGAGAATTGGCAAAATTGTCTAGAATTCCTCAAAGAACATGTTGGTTTCCAGTATCTTCATTGCTTGGCCCCAGGGCAATACTTAACCGCTTTCGAAGAAACGAGGTCAAAGTAAATGTACCCAAGGTTTACAGAATCTTTATTTACAGCTCCAGCCTCCCCTAAAACAGAGTGACTGGAGGTTAAGAGTGAGCCATTCCATTCTTATAAAAAACATAAAAAGTGAATTGTCTTGAATAGTCTGTTGATCTCAGAAGGGCTTCCCATCTCCACAAAGGCCAAAGAAAGCAAGAACAAACTGAAATGCTATCAGGAGAAAACCCTGTGACCAAACAGACAGAAGGGACCCCCAAAATAAGGGGCCAGAGGAGGGTGGGACGGCACACCCATTCCAGAAGTCTTCAAGAACTAGAAAGTACCATCAGGATAGGGATGGTTAGTGATGATTGTGTGCCGTGAGTCAGTTCCGACTCATAGTGACCCTGTATAGGGTTTCCGAGGCTGTAATTGTTTACAGGAGCAGAAAACTTCATCTTTCTCCCTTGGAGCAGCTAGTAGATTTGAACTGCTGATATTGCAGTTAACAGTCCAACTCGTAACCCAGTATGCTATCAGGGCTACGTACTTGTTTCTCCTTGGGCACAGGGAGATTACTTAAAGGATGTCAGAGGTGAGGCAGCTTTCTGAGGGCTTTCCCTTTGAAGAAAGAGTTCCTGCGTATCCAATTCCACTGAAGGTCCTGAGAACAATTGGCTGGGCTGGGCTGGGCTGGACAGGGGCAGTCCACTGAAGGAGATGTCTGTCCTTCTTTCACAGTGGCCTGTACCTACTATTGTGCCCCTAAAATGACCTGGTTACAGTCAGGATGCCCACAATGCCTCCAACCACACAATGATAACCCTCATTGCCCTGTCCCCCATCCCAGCAGTGACCAAATGCTTTATGAGGATCAGGAGGCTTGGTAACAGCCAGAGACATGAGTGACGTGTCTCAAGATGGGCCCAACCACCCATCTTTGCCACAGTTAGCTCTTTCTTTCCCCATCCCCTCTCCTCAAAGACTTGAGCCTTGGGTTTGGAGGTGTGTTCTAGACAACAGCATCCTAGCCATTCCGTTAATGAGTGCCCCATGACCAGCCTTGCTCAGTCTGTATCCTCACCCCTATTCTATCTTGTCCTGCAACCAGGAAAAGTTGGCTTAGCCCCAAACATTACTCTTAATTCATCCCTAGAATGTCACACTGTACCTCTGAGATACATGTTATGATATGCTGATTAATTATCACATCAGGTTTTCATAAAGTAGAACTAAGATGCTGGGGATGCCACGGCACACTAGGAAGAGAGTGTGAACATCCAAAAGGGGAAGTTCATATTGCATTTTGCTCAGGGAGAGCCTGCCCACTGTTTTGTTACTAACTTGATCCCCCGCCCCTAGTAACTACTTCCCCTCCCCTCCAGTGACTAAATACATACACTAGCCACCCAGAGTGCTGCAAACCCTTGGAAGAACTTCCCTGCCAGGGCCTTAAAGACCGGATAACTACTTCATTCAATTTCATAAATCCTGAGCCAAGAAAGAAACAGGTGCTCAGGTGCTTCCTGCCACCTGCCATCCTGACCAGGTGAAGCTTTGGCTCACTCACCTGAAACTTCCCCAGGGACCAGAGCTCAGCAGTCAAGTTTGGTGCCAGTGTCCAGGTCACAAACAGTGTGTTTTCAAAAGCTCCTGCTTCTTTGTACCAAAACCTCTTCTCTTTTGCACTCCCACATTCATGTCATTCCCTACTTCCTGGGCATCCCAGTCTCAGTGGACATGGAGGAGAATAGGATTCTCCTTCATCCCATTTTAGTAATCCCGAGTCACTCTTACATGGCGCTGATGTATAAGCACTGGGCTGCTAACCCCAAAGTCAGCAGTTCAAACCCACCAGCCATTCTCGGAAACCCTACCCAGGTCGCTAGGAGTCAGAACTGACTCAATGGCACATAACAACAGCAGGGTCAAGTCCTAGTTCTTATTTGCATGATTTGAAAAGAAAAGAGCCTCGAAGTTGTGGTCCCTGGTCTCACCAGTGGGTCTTCTGGCCACAACCTACCCATCTGGGAGTAGTCACCTAAGGTCTCTGCACGTCCACTACCCAAGCTAGTGGAATCAAGGGGCTAGGAGGAGAAACAGTCCCCAAAGAAGGGCACCTATGAGATAAGAATTTAATTGAAATTGGTGGACCCAAAAAAAAGGCCAAGAGAAGGTGGAGTTAACAGATCAACAAATAAATGAACAAAGTTCTACTTCTTTAAAGGTCATAAGTCAGCTAAATATAGACTGTCACCAAGTCACTCCTATATATAACTACTCCAGCCCAGCCAGCTGTCGTCCATCTCTGCCTGGAACTGAGTAATGCCCCAGCCCTGTAGGGTCCACAGTGCAGAGCCAGTTCTGAGCCGAGCACTGAGTGACACCCTCAGTCCCATCTGTCCAGTTTCCTTCCACAGCCATATTTCTGGCACTATTATCCTCCAGGGCCCCTTCACCTCTTCATGATATTCCTAGCCACTTCCAAACCCCCAGCACCCTCCTGTGTCCCCCACCATCACCACCACCGTTTTCCAGGCTCACACATATCTCAACTCCCAGCAGCTCTGAGGAGTCCTGGCATGGCACGTTAGGATCAGCACTGGACTGCTAGCCGTGAGGTTGGCGGTTCAAACCCACCAGCTGCTCCTTGGAAACCCTTTTTAGAGTCACTGTGAGTCAGAACCAACTCGACTACACTTGACGACAACAACAAAGCATCTCTGAAAGTACAAAGACCCCACCAAGAGGAGATCCATGATATTTGTGGTCCACACCTTGGCTGTCCTTGATCTCCGTCCATTAGCAGGGGCTTCTAGGCTTTGTTCTTGCATCTTACCCCATCCATTTAGCCATCTCTCTGGCAAGAATCGCAACTGACCACAGAACCTTAGTTCTAAGACCACATCCCAAACCCCTTCCTCATTCCAGCTCCCAGAATGCCTTCTGCTTCCTGTCAAACTCCCCCCCTGAAAAAGCAGCACGAGATTACGAGCTGAGCTGCTTGCTAACTGCAAGGCCAGCAACTCGAATCTACCAACCACTCTGTGGGAGAAAGATGAAACTTGTTGCTCCCATAAAGATTTGCAGCCTTAGAAACCCTATACCGGGACACTGTGAGTCGGAACCGACTCCACAGCATGTAACCGCCCCCACCCACCACTGGTGCCTGAAGTCATTGTAGACTCTGTTCTTGACCCCAGTCATCTCTTACTTTATACCTGAGCAACAGCTGCTGGTTGTAGCTTATTCCCTGGTTCTTGCTTCCCTGCCTTTCCCCTTCTGGTAAGGTCCGTGAGGACAGAGAACGTATCTGCTTCACTCTATATTAGCCCTTCACCCCAAACCTCTAAGCCCAGACCTGGAGGCTGATCCTGCATCTGCTTTTTCCAGCCGAGAAAGAGTCGCAGGAGCAGGAAGAGCCCACCACATCAGAGATGGCAGAAGAGACCTACTCCCCCAAGATCTTCCGGCCCAAGCACACCCGCATCTCAGAGCTGAAGGCAGAGGCCGTGAAGAAGGACCGCAGGAAGAAGCTGACCCAGTCCAAGTTCGTGGGCGGAGCGGAGAACACTGCCCACCCCCGGGTCATCGCGGTGCCAGAGATGAGGCAAGAGTCAGAGCAGGTGAGACCAGAGAACCCTCCCCACGACTCCCCTCCACCTCTGAACCCAGCAGACACTGGAGGGGCATTTGCAACAACAAGGGTTTAGGCTGGACCTAGCAAAAAAACCTGGCAATTTGTGTTCCTAAAGATAAACAAAAAACAAAACAAAACCAAAAAAATGCTGCCCTCGAGTCCATACTGACTCAGTGACGCTATAGGATAGAGTAGAGCTGCCATATAGGGTTTCCAAGGCTGGGCTCTTTACGAAAGCACATTGCCATGTTTTCTTCTCCTGAGGGGCTGGGTAGATTTAAGCTGCTGGCCTTTCTGTATGCAGCAGAGTGCTTAACCAAGCACCACCAGAACGTCCTGCAGATAACGTGTAGGAAACGCCACAGGCTGGTTCTACTCCATCACATGTGACTCAAGATTGAATTGAGGGAACACAACCACAAAAGACAGCCCACTTCCCATGGTAGCTCTCCTTAGTATTTAGCAAGGAGACTTCTCAGAGGTTCTATTTGTCATGTACAGCACTGGAGGTTCCATGATAGGATTCTCACCATCCATGAGAAAGACCCAGGTTCAATTCTTAGCCAATGTACCTCATGCAAAGCCACCACCCCTCTGTCAGAGACCATGTGAAGAAGTTCTCTGGTGTTGGACAAGTTTTAGCAGAGCTTCCAGACGAAGCCAGACTAGGAAGACAGACCTGGGGTCAGTACTTCTGAAAATCAGTCATTGAAAGTAGTATGGATCACAAGAGTCCAGTCCCCAAGTGATCAAGGGGATGGCACAAAACAGGGCAGCATTTCCATTCTGTTGCACATGAAGTTTCCACAAGAGGACTGGCGGGACAACTAACAGCAATAGCATTTATCAGACCAAGGGTTTACACAAAAGGGGATTGTGCTAATTTAAGGAATGGGCTAACCAGCCACACGCCAGCTGTGCAAGCCCAGAGCTGTGGCCGCTCCAAGGCAAAGGCTAAGCATCCTCTCTGGGACATCCAGAAAGGGCCAGCTCTGAGCTAAATGACTCCGCAAAGTGGAAACTATGGTGGGGACGGGGCGAGCAGCATGGAAAACCAGTGGGGCAATATGGCGTCATCACTGACCCTGGGGCATGTGTCAGGTGAAAGGGAGGTGAGATCCTTGACTGGGACTCATGTTCTATTGGTTCCCACCTCGGCCCCATGAACACCTCTCATCCTCCCTATCTGCACACAGGGTCCCTGCCGCAGACACATGGAAGCATCCCTGCAGGAGCTCAAGGCTAGCCCCCGTATGGTGCCCCGTGCCGTCTACCTGCCCAACTGTGACCGCAAAGGATTCTACAAGAGAAAGCAGGTGTGTCCTCTGTCACGTCATCTGTTGTGTGTGTTACTTAAATTCCTTCCTGATTGTGTGTGTGTTTTTCTGTGTGTGTGTGTGTGTGTGTGTGTGTGTTTGGTGTGGTGCTGTAGATAAGCACTGAACTGCAAGGTTGGTTTGAACCACAAGGTCGGTGGTTCAAACTCACCAGCCGCTCATCAGAAACCCTATACAGGGTTGTTATGAGTCGGAAATAATTCAACAGCATTTAACAACAACAACAATATACAGATATGTATATTGTTGTTGTTGTTAAGTGTATATATCTATATAAGGAGGTCTGGCAGCGTAGGGGTTACGAATTGGGCTGCTAACCTCACGGTCAGCAGTTTGAAACTACCAGCTGTTCCACGGGAGAAAGATGTGGCTTTCTGCTCCCGTAAAGATTTATAGCCTCAGAAACCCTGTACAGGGTCACTATAAGTTGAAACCAACTCCGTGGCACATAACAACCATATATCTATATATGATGTTATGATGTTAAGTGACGTCGAGTCAGTTCCGACCCATAGCGACTCTGTATAGGGTTTCCAAGGAGCAGCTGGTGAGCTTGAACCACTGACCTCACAGTTCAAACAGCTTTGTAGTCTGGTGCATTAACCCACAGCGCCACACCAGGACTATATATATGTGTTTGTGTGTGTGTGTGTATATATAGAGAGATAGATATAGATAGATATAGATATAGATATAGATATGCATGCATACATATATGGAGTCCTGGTGTGGTTCTGTGGGTTAATGCATCAGACTGCAAAGTTGGTTTGAACATCAAGGTCAGCAGTTTAAGCTCATCAGCCACTCGGAAATCCTCCTATACAGGGTCGCTATGGGTCGGAACCAACTCGAGGACACTTAACAACAACAACTTAACCTATTACATTCAATACCTTAAGACAGTGGTTCTTAGACTTTCCAGGACATCAGGATCATCTGAAGGATGTGTTAAAACCCAGATTGCTGAATCCTATCCCCAGAGTCTCTGATTGTTCAGTATGAGAGAACACTGAGGATTTTCTAACAAGTTCCCAGATGATGCTGATGTTGCAGGTCCACGGAGCACACTTTGAGAACCCCTGCCTTCAGGCCCCCCTGATCTAAGTTAGTAACTAGGGGCCAGACTGCCTTGGGTTGGATTTCAGCTCTGCCACTAAGTAGCCTGATCCCCTTGCTCCAGTTTATGAATGTTTTCTGTGCCTCTATGTCAGATGGGGCATAATAGTACCAAACTCACACAATTAGGAGAGATCATGGGCTGATGTTTGTAAAGCACTTCAAACAGTCCTAATTCGTTTCGGGCATGAGATGTAGCTGTTCAAGTGATGCTTCCTGTGATTACTGCTATCAGCGCTCTATCAAACCACATAGCTCTCTGGAGAATATTTTGAGAATGACAAATTGAAGGACCCTAAAGGTGTAACATAAAAAAGATATTGTGGAAGCTAGCCAACGACAGATAGCCTGAATTCATATTTTTCCCTGGTACCTCTCCATGAAATAGGGACACCAGAGCCCCAAGAGTTGAATACAACCCCCCAACTCTCTGGGATGAAGGTTCTACCTGGGGATGGGGAGAAGGAGGCCGGATGGGAACAGAGCCTTGGGGTGCAACCCCACTGACTGCCTGTTGCTCTCTCCTCACCCCAGTGCAAGCCATCACGTGGCCGTAAACGTGGCATCTGCTGGTGCGTGGACAAGTACGGGATGAAGCTGCCAGGCATGGAATATGTTGATGGGGACTTTCAGTGCCATGCTTTTGACAGCAGCAACGTTGAGTGATGCTTCCCCTCCCTGATCTTCCCACACCCCAGCCCACCCCCAGTCCCAACTCCAGCCAGCGCCTCCCTTAACCCTAGGACGCCACTCATTTCATCTCATTTAAGGGAAACTTACGTATATCTATTTGAGGAAACTGAGGACCTCGGAATCTCTAGCAAGGTCTCAACTTTGAAAGTGGCCACAACAGAGACACAGAAAGCTAAGGAGACCCCCTTTACAATGTTGGTGTGGTTGTTTTCGTGGTTTCGGTTGTTGTTTTATTTTGGGGTTTTTTGGTTGTTTTTTGTTTTGTTTTGTTTTTTTTGAGGCAAGTTGAACGAATACAGACGGAAGAGAGGAAGACCAAGAGATTGCAGGAAAGCAAGCATCTGGGTAGGAGAGAGAAAGATGGATAGAATTTGGGGAAGGGAAAAAAAGGAAGTGGGCAGGAAGGAAAAGTTGCCGGGACCACGGTTGGATCCATGTTTTGATCCAGCCCTGGCCAAGATTGGGGAGAGGTTTGAGCACTACAAGGTCTGTCCCAAGATGTGGCATTTGGTGACATGCTTGGAGTTTTCCCAGTTTCAATTGGTCAGGAGGAGAAAGGAAAAGACAAAACATGTTGGTGCCTCTCCTGCAGTTGTCTCCTCTTCCAGCCAGCGATTTGGATGGCTTGAACCCTGCCCTTCTTCTCCCCTTACCCCAATATATATAGTATTCTCTCTCTCCAAAATTGATAGAAAACAAAAATGCATTCCATTCCTTTAAAAAAAAAGCAAAGGGATAACCAAGTGATACTAGCGTGATTTTCCTAGACAGATACATAAATATGAAGTGTGGGTTCATAGCCCACCCCCAGACAGACTGTTAGAAATCAGTATACACCTCAGTCTTGGAAAGACTCGTTCCTCCAGGGTCACTCAAAACACAAGCTCAAATCAGTGGTTTTAGACTTCATTTCATTCAGTCCATGGTTAGTGCAGCCTCTGTTTCGGAGGGCAGGCGAAAAAAGAAAAATTTGTGGGCTTGTATATGTCTACAAAGCTCCATATAGTCATATATAGGCATATCAATCTATTTTATTATTTTTTCTTTCTTCCTTTCTTTCAATGGTTTGTATTAACTTTTCAAAGTAGTTCCTAAGGGGCATTGAGGAGCACCCTCATTCAGGGAACTCTAGAAGAACCCAGTTCTTCTAATACAATCCATAATACCAATTTTACCTGCTTTTAAGGGACAGAGTGTTGGATTTTTTTTCAGTTATCTCCCATGTTCACATGTGTTCATATGTACATGTGTGTGCCACCAAGCCAGGGAGATTCTGGCACTTAATGGTGTACATGCCATGTCCCCAGTACATCCCATGTTAGTTTTCAAACCCTCAGGAAGTCACTGACTCTGGACAGCATACCTGTGGAGCTCAACAGGTCCAAGTGAACCCACTGGTCTTGCTCCACATCTCTTTTCATTTCATCTGGACAGAGTCTACATTCTGAAAGCCTCCATCAGTCTTCATGCTCACAGAGCAGGAGAGAGATTGAAATAAGAGATGGCAAAGAGAGAGATAGAGGGGGAACATTTAAGTTCAAGGAAAGGAGTAAAATTGATGACTTAGGCCAGGGTAGATGGATTCAGGAAAAAGGGGCTTGAGGAACAGAGGACTGACTGCCCATTCTAGCTTTGGAACAATGCTTGGCTTCCCCACCCTATAAATCCTCTGGAATTCAAGAGGAAGGAGAGATAAAAATGGGGAAACAGACTGTAAATAGCCATGAACTTAATCCAGGCCATAGATCTAGAGAAGGTGGGTTTCATTAGCTGGAAATAAGCAAGGATCGGTAGAGACTGATGCGCTTTGCAGACTATGTGCTCAGCCTACAATGAGACCAAAGTGTCTTTCAGACTCTTCATCCATTTTGACCAGTCTCTGCTTCCTCCCTTGGGTGGAAGATGGAAGAAAGATCCAGAACAACCAAGGAATGGATGCTTCAATGGGAGCCATCATTGGCAACCAGACTCTGAACCAAGACAACTCCCATTCTCCATAGACTTCTTCCACAGCTGAGTGACCTTGGGGCTGGAGACAGCCTGCCTGGAAGGGGCACTTGAACTGACAAAGGAGACATACTCTCTCTCTCTCTGGACATACTCTCCACTCTGACCTGATGGCATGACACAGTGAACACCAACTCAAACACTGAACTTGGGGCAAAGAAGCAAATCGATTTCAACTAGTGAAAAGCATAGCTCTATGGAACTTGGGAGATGTCTCCTACTCCCCTGCACAGGACAGTTGGCGGGGATGGGAGAGGTGGCCATCTTCTTAAGACAAAGGGTCAGATGGGGAAGGCAGCAGTGAAGACTGACTGATCTGGAGTGGCACTAAGTATGCCCCATCTCTCTGCACAATTGTCCCCAAACTCCCATTTCACATTTCTAGCCAACTTAGGCCAGTAAGCTATTTTTACCTTACTCTTCTTTCTTCAGAACTTGAGCAGTTCTCTAAATGAGATCTGCCAAGTGGATACTAGGGTGCCATTCACCCTGAGAAAAGACTGAGCCAGGAATAGCATACCCTCTCCCAGCCCTCCCAAGACCTGGACCTGATTCTTAAGAGGGGGCTCCTCTTGTCTACATTGTTTGCTGGACTCTGAACGGACCTCTGCCCTTACATTGGTTCTTTTTTTTTTTTTCAACTGTCAGCTATAAGATGAGGGATAATGGCCTGGCTGAATTCAGCCAGCCTCTTGAGTTCCAAGCTCTAATGCTTGCAGGGAGTGATTCTGGGCAGCTGATTCCTCCTACAGGAACCTGGAATTTCATGGACAGGTGAAACTAAATCTCCCAAATGGGAAGTCTCACCTGAGCTGGGGGGCATGAGACCATGGAAAGGGAGCCGTTGAAGGAAAGATGGTATCTCTTCCCTGGACATGTAGGAGGGAAGGCAGGTTTAGAACGGTGTGAAGATGTTAAGCCCTGAGTGGGCATAGCTTTGACTGCAGGCTGGCAGTTGGCCAACTCTCTGGTCACCTGCAGGCCTTAGATTTCAGATTACCAGACTATCTTTCCATGACTCCCCATCTAAGAGACCACAGGAGGTCTCTTCCCATACCCCTTCTGACCTTCTCACTCCAGTGTGGAGAAGATACTTCTCTCTTCCCCTACTACTGCCAGGTAACTGAGGGAGGCCCAGCCAGGATGGATCTTCCTTCCTCCTGCTTACTCTGACCCACCCAGGCAAAGCCAGACATCTGGGTAGGATGTCTCACTGACAGCCAGGCCTGGACAGACAGGCCTGGAGACACTGAACCCCCATGGAGAAGAATGGCAGACTCAGGGGGCCCAGGGAGGCCCTGTGTGATTACACCTCCTCTTTCCTGGCCTCATTCACCCTTCACCCCCTCTTTGGTCTCTAGAGTTAACCTCCACTGAGACAGGTGGTCTTCAATCACTGTCTACCACTTCCGAGTTCTTCTCCATCCACTCAGACCCCTAAGAGGGCACAAGTTCAGAATGGGAACTCCATAGTGGTGCAGGCCAAGGAGAAGAACCCCTCTGGTCTCTAAGAGGAACATTTTAGCTTCCAAGACAGAAGACGCCATGTTGGAAAAGTGGTTGGATGAGGGCACAGGAGTTTTCCCAACCAGCACCCTGGGTGTTGTACTGTTTTTATTTTTTAAACCACTAAAGTGCAAGAATGATTTTGCACTGTGTCTACTTTTTTTCTTTTAGGTTTTTATTCTTTTTCTTTTCTTTTTCTTTTTTTTTTTTAATGCTTTCTTGGTTCTCTAATGGAGTATATCATTTTGGCCATTTTCACAGACTTTGGCCTCCTCTCTAACTCCTTTTGGATGGGGAATGGGAGGACAGGAGGGCCAGAGGGGGAGGGGTTCCCAGCTGCCCTGTGCCCAGTCACCTGACTTCTCTGGTCCCTGGTCACTTAGCCTGAGTCCCATATCTGCCACCACTACCACCGTCACACAATAGCCCCCATGGATAGCACAATGGTCAGACAAGATTCCTTCAGATTCCGAGTTGCCGACTGGTTTTTGTTTTTGTTTTTTTGGCTTTTTAAAGACAGCAATAACACAGCACATATTACTGTAGTTCTTTATAGTTTGACATACATACATACCATAGTTCTGTTTTCTCCTCTTTTTGTTTTCAATTGTTAATTGTTTGGGGTTTTGTTTTTTTGTTTTTTTAATAAATGCTCATAATCTTGACTGGTGAAAAGGATGATAAAGAATATAAACCAACAACAACAAAAAAACAGTGTGTGAAAAAAAAGGCAGGGGAAAAAACACATCGGCTGAATGTAGGCGAACTCGCTCCTGTTTAGCCTTTCATACTTAAGAAAATAAAGCAGAACAAAACAACATGGAAGATCTCACATTTTATTAACAAGTGGAGATTGCCGTATGCTATTTATTCAACTTATAATTGATGTTACTCCTTGATCTTTGTCTTTTGTTATGACAAAGCAGTTATTTAATAAAGTTATGCATTCAGTTAGCCTGCGTCAGCTTTCTCCCAGGAGCTAGGCAAATGGTGAAAGGGACCCTCCAGCCTGCTCCCCCAGAAGAGAAGGAGAAAGAACCCAAGTGAAGTCAGAGCCAAGAGCCATGTTCCCTCAGAGGGGGTCCCCTGAGGGGAGATAACTGAGCCCTGTAAATAGGTCCTCGAGTCTAAAACACAGGTGTCCCTTCATCACACTGAAAATTGTTTTCAGAGCAAAGCTCCCTAGCTGTGTGCAACATAGTTCACCTATCTGTGTCCCTTCTCTTGGGTAGCAATCATATCAGATGATTGTAAAGATTAAATGATGTAATGTACAGAAAGCTCTTAGGACATCAAATATTCAATACATGTTCAGCCATTATTACCATTATCAGTTGTCTAATCTCAGTCCTGCCCATTAAAGTGGCCTTAAGCCTCAGCCGAAAAAACCCCAATTGTCCTCAAATTGATTCTGACTCATGGTCGCCCCAAGTGTTGCAGAACTACACACTA